ATGAGTTTAATTCTAAAACACGAACAACACAGATTCGAAGATTATTCGGGCGACGGTATCTTTTCTTCATTATTTTCTCTAGGTAAAACAATAATTCCAAAAGTAGCTAGCTTTGTTTAAAAAAACAAATCACTCATTTCAACCGGAGCGAAAGCCATCGGCTCAATCGCTGAAGCGGGAAAGAGTATAAGCGATACAGTGAAAAAATCTAACGAGTTGAAAGAATTAGAATTGAGAACTAACAGGAGATTAGAAGAAAGGAAAGGAAAAGGTTTTAAAGTTATAGGATAAAAATGATTGTCGCTCACGCTCCAAAAACTTATTTCGGTTCAGGTGATATACAAAAATCATTGGGTTCTCTTCCTGGATTTCCATGGGCGAAATATCCGGAGAAAAACATCTTCCTGGTCATAATTATACAGGTCCAGGTACTAGGTTAGATCTGCGATTAGACGAAAACGATAAACCCAAACCAGGGGAAGAACCAGTCAATAGAGTTGACGCCGCTGCGCTTAAACACGATATACTATACAGAAATAAAGACATAAACTTCAGACACGAAGCAGACAAACAAATGATAATCGAACTTGAAAATATTCCAAATCCAACTTTCAAAGAGAGAATTCAAAGAGCATTAATCATTAAACTCTTGAAAGCAAAGATGAAATTAGGTATGGGATTGGCAGATGAAATTTATAAAGAATTTAGAAAAACTAAAAACTTTTTAAAAGTCAAAGTGTTTGAAAAAGATGAAATATGGTCAGCCGATTTATTCATATGCCAGTCGAAAGAGGATTTAAATATTGCTTAACAGTTATAGATTTATATACGAGATATGTATGGGTTATTCCTTTGAGAAACAAAACGGGATTATCAGTCAAACACTCATTTGAAACGATTATGAAACAATCTAACCGTCATCCAGAAAAACTATGGGTAGATAAAGGAAGTGAATTTTATAACAAAAATATGAAATCTCTGGGATTTGAAATTTACAGTACGCACAACGAAGGTAAAGCTGTAGTAATAGAAGGATTTAACAGGACTCTAAAAAATAAATTATTCAAAAAGTTCACGGAATTGAAATCCCAAAAATGGCTTAAAATATTACCAGTTGTTGTCGACGAATACAATAACAAAATTCATTCATCTATAGGTGTCACACCAACACAAGCCTCGAGTAATCCAAATATTATAAAGTCAATTAACACGCAACATAACTACGAAAATGAAATAAAGAATTTAAATATCAAACCCAAATTTAAAGTCGGAGATCGAGTTCGTATTTTCAAATATAAAAGTAAATTCGAAAAAGGTTACGTTGGATACTGAACGAACGAAATATTTATCGTTGATAAAGTAAACACTACATCACCTCCGACATATGAATTAATCGATCAAGACAAAGAACAAATCATAGGTAGGTTTTATCAAAACGAACTTCAAAAAACTGACTTTTAAAAATGAATGAATTTCTCGATAAATATGGAACCGATACAACCACAAACTTTCAACTTATGAGATGGGCGAATGAGTTAAATATATCACCGTTTTATTATTTATGAGAGATGAAATAAATGATCTGAAATTTTACGCTATAACAAATATACATACTTCCGATCAAAAGGGAGTTCATCATTCTGCTTTGTACAAAGACTCTGACTTTTATTTCTTCGATTCTTATGGATTAGAACCCACTGAAGAGATAATCCAATTGACCAATCAAATGTTCAACATTTCAAATTCAATTACCGGGACAAAAGTTTTGTGGTCAGCTTTCACTTTGGGTTTTATATCAGTTGAGTTTAGGAAAACAATTCGAAGAAATTGTAATAAATTTAACTCAATAAAAATGGCGAATAAGTTTGGATTAGGTTCTTTATCTTTAGAAACTACAAAACCTAACACAACAGCGTGGATAAATAAAGCAAAACCTTACTTCCTGGATCAAATCGGAGACATTCTTCAAGGTGATTTAGATATGAACAATTTTAGCATAACTAATTTAAAGTCTCCGGAAAACGATAATGATGCCATTCACAAGAAATATTTAATGGAACAATTAAATTTAATTGAAGTAAATAAAGAACATTTAAAAGAAAGAATAAATGATGTGAAAAGATTCTTCAAACGACAAATGAATAATAAAGATTTTATTGATGATACTAAACTACAACAAGAAGTAACAAGTTTGAAAAGTTTTATTCAAAAAGAATTAGTCAATGTAGTAGATAAAACTCAGTTACAAACTTTAAGTTCATTAATATCTAATTTAGATGATAAGATTAAAAAGCAAAAAAAAAGATCTTAAACAACTAATAGATAATATTAATCCAGGTATAAGTGAAGACAAATTGCAACGGGAATTAACTAAATTTAAAACTGAATTACAAAAAGAACTAACAAATATTAAAAAACAAATACAAAACAATGATGATAGTGTTATTCAACAACAGATAACCACTATTAATAACCGAGTATTGAAACAGGATAAAAATATAGTCGCATTAGAAAAAAAGTTTCTCAAGAAAGAATCATATTATTTCAATCTTCCATTTGGAAATTTGAGTTATGATGATGCTTCTATTACTGATAATATTGATAAATCAAAAGACTATGAATATAAAAAATATGGATTTAAACTAAATATAAGAGTATTTTCTCCTCCAAATTTTATCCGCCCCTATGATATATTTAAGAGCGAACATCTCCAATCAGATTTTTTTTTTTGAAGAAAAACTTACAATTGAAATAACATTTCCTATACAGGTAAAAGTTCAATCAATATTCTTCAGACAAAACTTACATATGTTTAATAAATTTAACGCTCGCAAAGTTCTTCAGTTTATCAATGGTACAAAAAATGTAGAAATTAAAGAATTAGAAATTAAAAC